TCCCTTTCTCAGTAAACAAACATACCCTTAGTGTTTGACTATTATTGGCAAGGGTACAATGACTTATGTTTGATTGTACCTTAGCTATCAGCATGGATTCTAGTTATCATCAATTTCTCAAAAATTTGATTTCTTTAAACTGGACAATGATTTTTGTGTATGTAGAGCTGAATAATGATTTCACAAAAAATTATGGTGGATAATGATTTTTTTTTTGTTTGTTTAAATGTTTTTCTTTTAATTTTTTCATATTTTCTCCGTATACGCATTTGTTAGTATGTTGCCAATGTGTGTATATGTTGAAAGTGTATTATAAGTGGGTTTTTTTAAGGTTCTTTTAATAGGAATATAGTTGAATTTTTTGGCTGATTTCAATTACAGCTTCTAGTTGAACCAAACAGTAATAATCAGGATTCAAATTTGATTCCTGATTGAACCAAATAGGCACCAAGAATAGGTGATTCCGATTCCAGTCCCGTTCTCAAACCAAACGGACCCTAACTATGCTACGATTGCTACCTTGTGAATTGTGATGATCATGAAAATTAGATACGTTCATTGCTTCAATGTCAAGAGAATATATTCTAGGGTAAATTTCTTAAACTACCCTTATGGTTTAGCTAATTGACTAACTCTATCATTACTATTTGTATATTGTCTTAGAGTATCCCTATGTTTTCTGATAATTGTCTAAAACCTCTCTCATCGTTCACTTTCTGTCATATTCTGTCATGTAATCGATACTTTTTTTTCAAAATTTCCGATTATACCCTTTCGGCCTTTTTACCGTTTTTGTAGTGATTTTTGGGAGAAAGTCTCCCTACCCCGAGTTAATGACGCTCTTCATCTCTCCCTCTATTTCTATCCCTCTCTGCAACTACTTCTAAGTTTGTTTTCCGTTCCTAAATCATTGAAAACTATAATCTTTTTGGTGGGAAAGATGTCAGGAAAAGGCGAAAGGTCCGATTACGTCCTCAACTCTGAACACCAAAATGGACAAGAAGAAACATGTCTTTTGCTCTTCTAGAGAAGGCTTGCAATTCCCCGTTGGTTGTATCAATAGTCTCCTGAAGTCCAAGTCGAATTGCAACTAATGGAAGAGTAGGGGCAACAATCTTGGAGTATCTTACTGTAGAAGTCTTGGAATTGGAACTGGCAGGCAATGCCAGCAAGGATCTGAAGGTTAAACATATTACACCAAGGCATCTGCAGCTTGCAATTTGAGGGGGTGAAGAACTCGATATACTGATCAAAGGAACTATAGCTGGTGGAGGCGTGATTCCTCACATCCACAAGTCCCTGATCAAAACATCCTCCAAAGACTATACATTTGCAGATTGGCTGAACTCCTTTCCTGCTGTTGAGGCTTTTCAATCCTAGGAACCATTCACGACTGATCCTCCCATGTATAAGTGTAATACGAGCTATACCTCCCAATCAGAAATAAACACATCAATCATCCTTTGTGCATGGGCTCAGAGCTTACAATCRCAATAGCTCCATACATCAGCTACAACACCACCTTTTCAGCATCGTCCAATGATCAGAATCAGACAAAGTGGTCTGCAGCTATAGCTGATGATTCTGTATACCTCCCAATCAGCATTGCAGCTGATGATTCGGAAGTTTTATAAATGGATTAGAAACAAGATCGGTTGACAGGGCAGCAAAGGAGGAAGAGAACGAGGAAGCAACAAGGGATTTCTGACGGCGATCTTGTTGGAGGAAACTTGTTCCTATCTCATTGAGGCAAAGATTCCAGCATCACTGACCCAAAATCAATAGCCCCCTTCAGCTCCTTCAAAACTCTTTGCATCTCCAATACATTCTGGGCAACTGTAAATAAGAAGAAAAACAGAGCCGATAGAGGGTAACAAAGGCCACCCATCCCACTACAGTTTTATTTATGGGGTATAAGATTGCTTGTGAATACGACTTCCTGCCTAATAAATGTTGAGGTGGTATATGGCCTTGGAAATTAACTCTCTTAGAGAAGGATATTGAGTTGCCACAGTATGAGCTGTCCCCCCAGTCCGGAATAGAGTCTGTTCAATGGCAGCGATTCCATTCAAATTCAGGGACGTGATTCCATTTTCTGCTTAGATGAATATATCCGACGACAGCTGCAGCGATGATTCCGTTAATTGATGTTGTCAAACTGCTTGAAAATGTGAACGAAAATAATGGGTAAAATAGTATTTTTCTTCTTTCCATTAACAGGAGTTAATGGTAAAGAGGATTTAGTCAATTATCAGAAAATTCAGGGGTACCCTAAGACAATATGTAAACAATAAGGATAGGATTAGTCAATTAACTAAACCATAAGGATAGTTTAAGAAATTTGCCCTATATTCTATTGGGTTTCCTCAAAAGCCTTCTTCTAATATGTCCATGCCCTTCCCTGTTCGCCTCCTCTTCGTGCAAGGATGTGAATCTGAATCCGATTCGGTTCCATCATTCCATCTGGACTCTAAACCCAACAACCTAACACTTTCCCCAATTTCTCCTTCTTCCATTTTATTTTTACCACAATTTCAACAAGAATGGACCAAAAATCTCATATGATCGCAATAGTTTCTTGCATTAATAGATCGTTAAAGATAGATGATCATTAATAGATCATCAAGATTCAAAACCAAGTTGCAAAAAAAAAAAAAAAACATCAAAGTCCCTCTCCTTTGCTCAATTTTATTCGGATTAAAAGAATCAAAAGTTTGAAAGAGAAGTCCCAAAATCAGATCCGCCCAGATCTGAAGTTACCACAAATTTTTATGTTTCTCAAGACTCTTTTCATCTGAAACACATTTTTTTTTTGTGTTTTTCACCATATATCAATTAGAAAAAGTAGAAAGAGAAGTACATATCTAATTTTTTTGGGGTTCTTTCATTGGTTAGGTTTTGTTTTGAAAATTTAAAGAACAATGAAGGGCAAAATTGATCGCAAAAAGGGCAGTTTTGGAATTAAGAAACTTATAGAACTTATGTGACATCACATTAGGGGTGTAAACGGATTGAATCGAATCGGATCAGGTAATATCTGATTTCAAGTCCGATTAGATAAGCCGATATCTGAATTCGATTCGATATCCGATGGATATTGAAAATTAATATTTGAATTCGAATCCGATTAAATATTTGAATATTCGATTTGAATTCGATTAATTAATTATTTTAGATAATTAATAAATATTTTATTGACATAAAGTATATAAATATAAAAATTATTTATCTAACTTAATTATTATATATATAATATATAAGAATTAAATAATTTATTGAATTTGGGTATTTATCAAATCGGATCAGGTCATATCCGAATTCGACCGATTAGATATTCGAATTATCCGAATTCGATTAATTATATCGAATATCGAATTCGAAATCGGATTTTTGAATACCGTTTACACCCCTACATCACATGCGAACGGATTGTAACGACACGCTAATGGTTCATTGTCAAAAAACACTTATGGATCTTTAAGTCATTTTTCAAGTAATAGGGTAAGTTTTTGTCCATTTGCTAAACTATAGGGATATTTGACTATTTAACCCTATATATAAATAGAAAAAATACATTTTTTTTATATAAATAAGATGCATATATGTATATATTCAGGTTAGATTTGGCTTGGGCTCAAGCTATTCAAGTCCTCAACCCAAATTTAGGTCAAACACACTAATTTTACAAACCTGCCCAAGTGACAATGTAAAAACTCAGGCTCAACCCATGAAAAAATTGGTATCAGCGACTTGGCACGCACGAGTTGCACCATACACATATAGACATAGCCAATAAAAGAGACAACCAATAAATATCACACTATTGTGAACACCTTAACAACAAAGAAGAAACAAACTCAATAATAGACACTAAGGCCTCATTCGCTTTTTGGGAAGTTACTTACCTAAGTAAGTGTTTTTTGAGACATATTTACCCGATAAGTGCATTTATTCATGTTCTTTTATTTTCTAGGTAAATAAGAAAATGATCATTTTAGCCATAAAAAATTATAATTAAAAGGGGTAAATTTGTCTCATCCAAGTATTGGTATTTTCTCAAGAAAAAATATATATTTTTTTCCGTAAACCCCACATAAATCTAAAAATAGAACATGGATATTTTAGCCAATGGGAATCAAAATCCTATTAACCAACTTCCGCCCTCTCAAAATCCAAAACAAAAGAATGGGCCTTAAAAATCTAAAGCCTAGCATGCATAAGATAAGCAACAAACTTAAGTAACAATATTAAAAAGCGGAGCTCAAAAGGTCAACTCAACTTACTCTATAGGGGGCATTAGTTTATTGGATTTTGAGAAGGGGAAAGTTGGTTAATAGGATTTTGATTTCCATTGACCAATAAACCCATGCTCTTTTTTTTTTGGTTAATAACTTTCCCACTTTGGAGAAATTTGTGAATACTTGAATGGAACAAAAATGTCCTTTCTAATAATAAATTTTTATGATTAAAATAGTCATTATGTTATTTTCAGGGCCTTGGAATTCTACGATACAACGGGGTTGGTCAATATATCAATATATTTTAGGGGGGTTCTACAACATAAATGTTTTATATTTGCACTATGTATAATTTGTACTCTTCCCAAATGAGCCTGCTGCTCTGCTCAGTTTGGAAAAAGTACAAATACATAAATTGCAAATACATAAAAAATAATACAAAATATTAGATTTTGCGCTCTAAATATTCGTATTTGCACTCAGCCTACCGGAAAAAACAGTAACTGACCAACCGGTATCAAAATTCACCGGGGTGGGGGTTGATTGGTCAGAACCTTCCTCTGTTATGTATTTCCGGCAGTTCAGAATTTTCATTACTTATTTGTTTTCTTTATTATTTTTCATAAACCATAACCGTATCTTTTCTTCGTATTCAATTATTCATGCCCGTCTATCGTACGGATTCTCCTGCTGGGCAAAGTCATCTCGTTCCGCGTAGAACCCAAACCCTACCTTATCTCCCCACCATCTGATGGTTCAAATATGCGTTTCTCGGAATCAGGGTCAACGATCGCACATTGCACTAACGTTCTAAATATGTAACATAGTATGATATCCTTCCTCCTTAAACCCTTCAAACGAAAACCTTCGACTTCGTCACTTTCGGAAGCTCTCGCAGGTGCGAACTGTTTCTCGGTCCTCACAGGATGTTTCAATGTTCTTCCAGAAGACTTCGGGCAAGGGATGGTCAACCATAGCATTCAGATCACAAGCTGAATGAAAGTTTTTTAGAATCACCTTGTTTCTTAAGCAGAATTTCAAATCGCAGATGGCTCTCAGACGACCAACGTCGATTCAACATCTCTATCGATCTCTTGAAATTCGAAAAATTTCGTCTCTGTAAGCAGTTTTTCTTTTGCTTTTCCTGCCAAGTGACTAGTTTTTTTTTTTTTTTTTTCTTTTGTAAAACTTTTTGCCACGTGGAGTGGTTCTTTGGAGTTGAAATTGATTGGATTTGTAGGTTTGGAAGCTCAAGAAGCTACTCGAATTTCAATTCTAAGGGTAAATTCTTCCGAAAGAAGTTAGAGTTTTTATTTTCATTGCTAACACGCTATCTGTTAACTTTAGCATTATATAGTTTTTCTTTTTTTTTTTTTTTTTATTTTCCATTTCTTATATCTGATACTGATGGCTCTAGTTCAGGTTATCTGACTTAGATTTGCACAATGTGATCAGTTCCAGGACTTACTTACAGGAGCATTTTAAACTGCTCCCGTAAAGATCATGGTTATCTTTCTTGGATTCCTGGGAGTGCAAATCCACTTCGTTCTGCAATGGTAGCTTCTCAGAGCTTAGCATTTTCAAACCACTACGAGATATAAAACCTATATAGTTTATCTTCAATGTTTCCGAGAATTATTACAGAACTTCACTGCGATGCATAAATGTTTTGTTTGCTGTTTTTAGGGTTCCGAGTTATCAGCCTTTGTGAATGACATGAGGTTGGTAACGACACAAGCGAAAGCACCTCCTCAAATACGACAAATGGTATCCATTATTCATTAACCTAACTGATTTGTATGTCGTTTTTTATTTTTCGAATTGATTGTATATTAAATATATAGCATTTCCTGCTATTTAAGTGTGAATATGCTTCCAGTGTTATATTGAACATAAAAAGTTAAGCAACTTCGGTTTTTATAATTGATACATAATTTACTAAAGGGATTTATTGCATATGTGCTTATGATATGTAGTTTCAAATTAGATCCTTTCAGGGACTGGAGATGACTATGAGACTGAGGTGAGCGAAACATTGGATACTTCTGATTGTAAATGTTCATAGTTGTCGATGTAACACTGTAACTACACAAGGACAAGGCACACTATACTGATGGAGTTCAATAAATTGTTGGATATAAACACATTGAGGCAAAACCCACTTTTTATTACTAGTGATGCACCAATGATGCCCATTCTGTTGCACAGCTTAGTTGAATTTATTAAATTAAGAACATGGTGGTCTGTTTGTGTGTGTGGTGAAATAAAATTTCTTGCCCCTTGACTATCTACTCTCTTGTGAAGATAGATATGAAAGACAAGCGTTCATCATTTCAGGTTGATGACTTGATGGTAATGCAATGCTTACCTGAAGAACTTGTTAGGAGTTTAAGTTCACAAAAGGTCCTAGTATCTGCTGATAGTTTGACCATCAGTGTGAGAAAAACTTCTTTGGGGCATTGTCTTTGACCTACTGATTGCTCAACCTGCTCCTCCTATACACCTAGGCATAGCATCAGGCTCTTTCTTCCTCATAGGAAAGGTTAGCAGTTGATATTATCATATGACACACTGTTTTCTCCTATATTTGGGGCTAGTGCAGAATAGGCATTATGGTTGCAGATAGGTTCCTTGGTTTCTGGATGTCATTGCATCATAAAGTAACATTAAACATCCACAAGGAGAGCACAAGGGGCTTCATAGTCAATATTTGTTTCTTTACAAACCAAATTTTTTACCAGAGAAAGTACTCAATGGTTAAAGTGGCCAGTTTATTTGGCTTTTGATATTGTGATCTTGAACACCCATTTTCTACTCAGAGTGGTGCTTGGTTGGCAACTGAAAAACCACTTACTGGAAAGGAATAAATGTCATCTCAAGTTTTCCTTCACTTGAATAAAGGAACCCCCTTTTGGTGATTTTCGTTTTGGGCAAAGGGGCCTCTCCTTCTATAGCTGAAATAGCTAAGCTTTACTTGGGATTAAATGCGCTTTGGGGATGTCAACTCAATTGGTATTAATATTCTTTAATTGGGATTAGTATGAAGAAAGTAACTTTTATAGTTGAAGATTTTGTGTATCATCTATTTAGAAGAAGATAATCTAAGTATGTATGTTTTTTGGATCAGCAACACAGAAAAGATTCATTAAATTAATAGAGATAATCTACGTATGTATTAAGTACTAAAGAAGTGTAATATGTGTATGAGTATGGCCCATGTACAACAACATGCTATTTAATAAGATCTCCTTCAGATCCCAAAAAAGGGAACATGAGGTTTGATCATGCATTTTACAAAAAAGAAAAAAAAAAAAACAGGTTAAGGAAAGAAGAGTGTTGAGGTTCCTTGAACTCCTTGTGAATTAATATCCATGACCATGAGACTAGTAACCTATGGAACTCCATGATACAACTCCCTTTGGGCTAGGTAGATTATTAAGGATACAAGCATTTTTCTCTCCCCAAACCATGTAATGGTGAAAAGGAGTAAAACTTCATACAAATTTCCTTTTTGTACTTAAATGCCTTTAGTACTAGCTGCTAAAAATATATCAAAGAATCATTAGCTCACCCAAAAAATTCAAAGAAATATAGGATCTGAAAAAGTAAATAATTCAAAATGTATTACAAAGGAGTACACTAGAAGAGCACAATTTCCCCACTTTTGCTCCTATCACAATATAACAATACCAGCAATTCAGGAAATGCATTATTTGTGCTCTGCTAATATGGTCATGTGTCTAATGTGCTTATTTGTCTTTCTTGCTATGATTGATATGATAGTTGTTTATGCCTCTTATGCTTTTGTTTATGCAGGGCGCTTTACAAGTGTCTATGGTGAGTCCTGGATTTGTCTATGAGCCATATGCACCTCGTGAACCCATTCCATTTTGGAGAAGGTTGATTAAGTTGCATATGTTTTCTTGGCTGCATTGAATAGATGTAGATTCTATTAGTTGGCCTTCAATTAAAGATTAATGAGATTTTGAAGTGAGTTTAATTTTTTTTTTTGTCAGCAATTTTGAAGTGAGTTTAATGTGAATGAAATACTTTAATACTGCTTCATAACAATTTTATTAAATCATATTGTGTTAATTTTCAACTTATATTTTTCAGGTATGTTACTATTTGCCAACTAATAACATAACAAAACCTAAACTGGACAATGGCAATCTCAACTATTAAAGTTTAATTTTTTTACTCTAGTAAGACTTTTATCTTTATGACCAGAAGGCATCTTTATAACTCTGTCGTCCCTACTTTCTAGGTCTTAGAGAGTGAACTCACCACATTTTTTTGATTGGTAATTATCAGAAATTTATTAATGAAGAAGCAAGAATAAGTAAAAAGAAAAAGGGAAATAATGATTTACTTTCCCACTGACCTATTGATAATTTGCTGATCAGATGGTTCACAAGAAGTGGTTGGAAAAGAACAAAAGAAGATATCATTATAGAGGTACTATTTAATTGCTTACAAAGTGTTAGTGTAGAATTTCCAAATGCAGGTGCTACTATATTCTCATTCATAGCCATGATGAATCTTTGACATTTCACAGGTTCTGTCACATGTTACTCATAGAAAGAAAAAGGGTTCTGTTAATTGTTATGAAACATGTAAATTTACTTTGATATCAATTGAAAAAACAATATTTAGTTTCATGTTTGACTGTGACAAGTAACTTTACAAATTATAACCTGCGGCGAATGGCATTTGATTCATGGTTTTTCTTTTTCTGGTGGTTATGATAAGCATGAGAACAGAAGTAATGAATTCATACCTCATGACTTCGTGTTAGTTGTTTTTATTGGTACCCTCTGATAGGCCCCCAATTAACCTTACGTATGCCAGGAAGAGGAAAGGTCAACAATCGGCTAAGGGGGGGAATAATTGAACAATTGAACACATGGGGGCAATTATAGCTGAAGGGAATAAGGAGAGTCTTGAGGCATTTATAGCTATGTCAGTTAGGAATAAGAAGAGTGTTGGGCATTTATAACTTGGCCGGCTGGGCATTTATAGAGGGAGTCAGTTATGCTGTGAGAAGAGTATAAGAAGGGGCTTTGAGGGATGGGGGAAGGTATGTTTTTCTTGAGCGAAGAATACTGTGAGTGATTGGGAGAGCCGGCGGTCTCTCGAAGAACCGACCAACTGTTAATGTTTTCTTCTGAATGAATACCAGTTTCTTTTGTTGATGTTCGAGTTGTGTGAATTCTTCTGAGTCTGAGAACTGTGTGTGAAGTTTCTGGGACATAAYACACTCATGTTAGTTTTCTTTGTTTCTTTAATTGTCATATTATGTCCATAAATGTTGTAAGAACTGAAACATACAAATATGAGTTATGAATTATTTCTCACTTCATTATTCAGATATGTTTTTAGGCTTTTAAAATCCTTACCATTCTCCATTTCAAAACATATACAACTTGATGAACTTGAACCTGTGTATGAATTGGCTAGCATTTTCCATCTTGCTTGTGACGTCTGAGCCTAATTCAAACCTACCTACCAAGAAAGAAAAGATGATATGTTGTTTTGTTTCTATTTTTTCAGCTCAAGAATGCATATGCCATCGCCAAGTTAAGGAAAGCTGGATATTCAAAAAAGCAGTTTTATCAAGAGGCTGTACAGTTATACAAGGAGGTGATTCTATGCTCCTATTATGTGATGGAAATATAGAGACTTTTTTTTTTTCATGGGGAAGTCCAAGTTACACTGGTTTAATTTCTGTCAGTAACGCAACCAATGTTCTGAAAATCATAATCGTAGAGAAAGTTGAATCAAATCAAATTGTGAATCGTAAGATTATTTCTATTTTTTACAAACTTGTCAAAAAAGTATGTATATGCGCTAAAAGGCTAAATATACATAGAACAATAGAACTTACCACTTGTACAATAGAAGTCTAAGATGATATAATCAACTTTGACTTGAAAGTCAAATAATCCAGTAATCCACATACAATGACTTTTTATCCAACATATGATGGAAAATAAATTCAATTATATGGTCTTAAATAACGTAAATAAATCAATTTCAAGTAAGGTATTTAAAACAAGCCACCCTTGATAGAACTAAATATAAACAAAACAAAATGACACAGTAGAGAACTAATTCTTAGTTGAATTCATTTGAATCGTCAATCGCCAGAATTGTATAAATTGTAAGATTTATGAATCAAATCAAATCATAGGATTCAAACAAAAATGATAAGATTTTTACAGAAAAGGATTCAGACATAAGATTTGAATCAAAACCTTTGGAATTCATGATTCAAGACACAGCTCTTATACATCTTTTGGCTTGATCTTAATGCATTTGCAGCTTTCTCTATATTGTGCAGGTGCATGATAAATCCATGCTTTGTTACATATTAGTGTCTGTATGAATCATTAGAGAAGCATATAACTGCGGTTGAATCTCCCCCTTAGATGTGAAGAGTCCATGATAATAATAAACAAAAATATGTGCCCAATTTCTGCTGTATAAATTAGGGCTATCAATGGATCCAAGTTTGATCCAATCAAGACAGACATGGACTTCTAAGCTAACCTTTTTTAGGATGGAAAACTAAAAGGACTCTATGCTGTAAGATCAAAGTTTTGAAATTAGAAGAAATGAGGAAGGAAAGATCTGACCCACACTAATCACATCAGAAAGCTAAAGCAATATACAAGAACTAAGTCAAAGAGCTTGGATATCAATGACAGAAAGTGAACTAATCCAGAACATCTGGCCCAACCGCCCAAGTATACCTCATTCCTGGTTGCTCCCTCCCTAGCCATATAATTTGGCAAGATAGTGGGCAGATCTCTGAATTCAACAGTATGAGGTGTTCACTCTGGCAGTAAAGTATCCTTCCTCTCTGATGAAATGATGTGGCAACCATGGGCCTTCATCCCCGTCTCTCATCCAATCTAGCACCACCTGTGAGTTTGCCTCTTCCACTTTTGAGTAACCCAAGGAGTACATCAACCCGATGCCTACAGGGAAGGGGAAGATATGATTTCAGTCCTGATTGAATCCCTATGCCAATGGGATCAGAATAAACAGAAATGGAAGCAACAGAAATGGATCCCTTAGTAAGGATCCCAATAAAGAAGAAACAGAAATGGAAGCAACAAATGTTTCTAGAATTCAGYGCAGATCAAAGAAACACTAACTCTCTGACAATCACAAGGAACCCTTGCATGCCAATTTGTTGCGACATAGAATCTATCAAAAAAAAATTGTTGCGACATGGTATTTTGGATTGTTTCAGCACTTATCAACATTACCACTTTTCAATATTTCAAAACCTCATGTAATGCTTTTATGGTGGTGGTGGTGGTGGTGGCTGGGGGGGATTGGCTTACAGAGGAGTGAATCCTCTAATCACAATTCTGTCAGTGTTCAAACCTCAATCTTGAGTCTCACATGCAATTTTTTTTTTTATCAATAACAGCTGAAAATTTTATTAATTGTGGAGAAAGAATGATATACTAAATTACTAATGTGAAACGTGCCCAGCACCCCTTGGGCTAGTTCCAGCTAGCCACCCACTGCTTTCCATCCCTTTTTACATGATCCAATCATTCCCCATGATGGACCTTCCCAAAACAATTAGTTTCTTTGTAGTCCTTGTCTATCAGCTAGACTAGTTGATCTCTAAATTGAAGTGAACATCATCCTTGATTGTTTGTTTTTCTCATATGTCTATTTGATAAGGGGAAAGAAAATCAAAAGACCAAGGACCAAGGGGGTGTTTGCCAATGTATATGTTTTTTAAACAATAGTTTGTCCATAACTGTCTCTTCCCCCTTCTGTAATCATAACAACTTCTGACATTTCAGTCCTCTTAAAGATTCTAAGCTAACCAAGTTCTGACAATGTTTTTTAAACAATGTGCAAATTCTGGAAGTATCTACAAACCAAGTTCTGACATTTCAGTCCTCTTAAAGATTCTAAGCTAACCCCTGTTATGCTTGACAAACCCCTTAATATGCTCAACAAATCCCTGAGCTTCAGTGGATAACACAAACCCCTGAATATGCTTGACAAAACTAAACATAAACCTAAATACAAGGCTACAAGCACATGAAATATTGCAGCATAATAGGTGTGTTGCTACCGACTACTGAGAACATCCCTCTATCCCTTAGTTTGTCCAGTTCATGAAGCTAATGAATGCTTAAGAACTGATGTGTTCCCCCTTTTTCAATTGTTTGCTGGAAGTCAATCCTTGTTCAAAAGTTTTTTAGGGTGTTTGCACACACACACACACACACACACACAAAAGAAAGACAAAGAAAACCGGAGACTTTTTTCAGACGTTTTTGACATGTTTCCATCTTCTCAAGGACTGAAATGAACAACCAACTTCACAGTATCATACTATGGGCATGCCTTTTTCGATGGTATAATTACAGTCCTTGAATGACTGCATCGTAATCATAACATACTTCTTACAGTTGACAGGATATATTGCTTTTTTTCTTTGAAGTTCTCCTTTGGAACTTTTATTCTTTTGTAAAGCTTGTATGAAAGTTCATTGGTATTTTTTTATCCTCTGATGTATTAGTGCAACTTTGCCAGATAAATACCTTGATGGCAAATGGAGATAAAAAATCATTGAGGAAGGTGGTTACAGACAGAATGTACTCAGTAAGATACTGTTATTTTACTTGTTCACTGCTCCCTATGGATTGTTAGTTGTATCCTTCCCCCCATTTCTTCCTATATTCCATTTTCTTTTTGTAATCATATGCTTCTATGCCCAAATTGCAGTGGTATTATTGCTGTTTTTATCTAATATTTATGTTATTGTTTCTAAATTTGACATTTTCAGGCACTCAAGAATGAAATCAAACAAAGGGAATCTATGTGGAGTAGTGTTTACTGGGAATTGATTGAGCCAGTTGTTAAAATACGAACACTGCGGGCTCGATTGGTAAGTTCAGTTGTTCAATGATTTCACATGCTTATTAGTCCAGTAGGCTGTAAAAGGAATATTCACACAAGAATGGATTGAATACCATATAATACCATTCTCCCCAGTATGTGTTGTTTCTGTATTTTTTTAATTTGTGGATATTTGACATACTTCCTTAGGACAGGGTAAATTATTACTTTTATACAGAAAGTCTTGCACTCATTTTTTTTGTCCGAGAATTTAACAAAACTGATGACATCCTCTAGAATGTGAAAAACAACTATGAACACTTTTGTCCACTCTGTAATATTTTTACTTATGTTGACCAATGTATGTGACTTGTTTGACTCTCCACTTGATTGCATTAAATGGATCGTTTTTTGCTACCTAATGGCCATGCAAAGCGTCTTTAAATATCATAACCTTTGGGTTGTTTCTTGTTTCAATTTTTGGCTGATGAGATCTTCTTGGATCTTGTAGAGTGCACATTTTGACTATTAGTATGTACCAATGTAGTCACATGTGACACAAGCTGACAGATTTTTTATTCATCTATTCATGCTCATTTTCATGATAACCGGTACACTTAGGCAAGTATAAACTTACACTGTATTACTAAAAAAATAAAGGGGAACCTTTAAGATACTGAACATGGTAATAGTTGTTATATCAAGATTCATTCCCGCTATTTCTTTTCCCATGTTAAATGACACTTGATTTCTTGCATTTGGTTCTAATTTTGTGTGTTCCACAGATTGGCATTGATAGAAATGACCTCAACAAAGTATTCGTACAGCTTACACTTGAGTTCCTGGCTAAACAGGTATACAGACCACACTTGAACCATATGTTATCCCTAGGTGGAGAGATGCATTTTACATCCTTGAGGGGCTCTAATTGTGGATACATTTGTTTTTGGTTATGCACTGAAAGTTATTATTAAATGTGTGACACCCTACCTTTTTGTGTGGTTTGAAGCATTGATTTACATAGTTGGAGTAACCAATTAAGTTTATGACAAAACCTAGATGTTGATTACTGATCCAATTTTGAGTTCCTAACGAGGCAAGGCACTTTGCTAATACAAGTCRCTCCTCAAAGCAAGTTCATCAGTCAGTGCATTAGCACACCTAAGATCTACCTGAATGAGGTATTCAGACTGGATGCTGGAAGTCAAAGATCTAACCTCTTGAGTCATATTCATATGGTTCTCCATTGTGTTGAATAAAATTCTAAAGTTGATGAAAAAATTCACATGGTTTTCCACTCAATAATTATGGAAGGATTTCATTAGTTGATTCCCAATTCCCAGTTTCTCATTGTTATTGCTGTTGCAGAAATTTGAGGCATATGATTCAAAAGGTGTGGTTGTTGCTGGAGATAAAACAAAAGAGGTATTATCCACAAACCACAATTTTGCTAATGCTGCTCTAATAGAAAAAAAAGAAAAATCTTGATTTTATTTTTATAGCCTATGTTGCTAATCACCCAGGTAACCTAGTCTAATTCTCTTATATACCTAATACCTAGACTGTTTCTAGGGGGCAGACACCCTTGTAATAACAATGTGCACTACTGTAACACCTTTGATTGTGATCATTTAAGCGTTAATTTCATAGGAGTGTGGAGAATCTGTAGATAACCAGCCGACCAGTCCATCATGTATAGAATTGTTGGAGAAAATATTTTCCAATTATTGGGCTTCATTCATGCATAAAATGGTTACCGAATATCTAAAAGAAACTGTTTTTTTTATAAGAAAAGCAAATTAATTAAAATAAAGGCTACAATAACAGGTGATATGACATCATCGAAGATAGAGAGAGACAAGTTACAACTGAACCAACCCACTTGGCATCATCAAAAAACTTTCATGCAAAATCTTTACACCAAAAAAGCTTATCAAGATCCCAATATGCATGTATATGTTAAAATGTGGCAAGTGGAAAATCCACACTCGTCATTTCTTGGACCCTACATGAAAGATTCACAAGACCAACACTAAATGAAATCGGTAAATCATATCGAGTTTTGGTATACTCCCAAACTTTTGTCATAAACAATACAAAAAATAAATGTTGATACTCTTTTATTACAAAGAGAAATTGTCAAATTTTCACTAGTATCTGTTCCTCATATGCTGCATGTATAGGTACTTGTACGTGATATTTGGGTGTTTGAGAAATCTCTCTTCCACACTGGAGCATACTGGCGTCTTTGTGGCCGGATTTCATTGTAGTTTGGTTGGCTGACAGTAAGAGAGCTTAAAGGATGAAGAGAACTGATGACTGATGAGTAATGTAATAAATACTTGAAAGTTTTCAACCTCAGTTTTTCACTCAATTCATCTTTTTTTTTTCATTTAAATTAATAATTTATTTCATTTTCACTGAACTGCTGTAGGAATAAAATGAAATCCAAGTTGGACAGTTCAGGTACAAGAATTTTCTATTGTTGACAAACTCATCCAAAAAAAATTTACATATGGGAGCTATATTGCTGAATGAGCAATTTATTAGTTTTATATTGTGATTGTCCATTCATTAATTCTATAKTGCTGAATGAGAAATGTGGGGATTAAGCCAACAAATGGGTGGCTGCTCAATCGTTTAAGATTCATTAGTTTTACACTTTTACATTATGGTTATCCAAGAATCATAAGCCAGTTAGCATCAAATCTAATGTTAATCTGATTGAGGCTTAAGGCAATTTTAAATTGCAGATCCATTTGTAACCAGGATCAATTATTTGTTGATCAAAAATCAAAAGCATATATATATTATTGATCCGATATCAATGAAGCCCAAAATGCCTACCGTGAAAAGGTCTACTAGTTGGCTCAATTAGGATTATTATCCGCATAACCAGAACCACGTATGAGTCCTGGTTTGATTAGATGTAGGGAGTAAAATTGCAAATCTAGTCGTTTAGTCATTAGTGAGACATCCTTTGTATCATAGTTTTTTTTCCAGGACTGGCTTGCTCGTGAGGTTCTTTATTCTTCTTTGGATTTCAGCATTTCATCTCTTCCCCCTTCTCTTTTTATTTGTTGTGATGACTTTTGGGGACGTACTACCCGTTGTTTACTACATTTTTATTCTTTTCAAAAAAAAAAAAAGTTTTTTTTTTCTAGGACAATATCCCCCCGGTCCAGGTCCAGCCCGTAGCTTGTAAATTTCCTTGATAACAGATTTGTTGTCAAGCCCTTCCTGTAAAATTGACTTGCACATTTGGAAAAGTAAACCTAATTGATTACCGAATAGACCAGACTAGGGACCGTTTGATAACGGCTAGACTTCTTACATTGTCTTTTAGTTGTATAACTAAATAATAACAAAGTTAGAAGGATATAGTGGTCTATCCAGCTTCAGTTTCAGCCATTAAGGATCCCACAACCTCCTTTGAAAACAAAGTGGTCAGATTAAAGATTTGCCGTCTCCCGAGTCTGGAATTTTTCTGCCACCTAAAATAGAGATTTAGACTGCATTTGGCATTCCTCAAGGACTTGGCATTTTAACTACAAAAAGGAGACAAGTCCAGCCTTGAGCGACATTAAAAAGGTTTTCTGGAATCGGTACGTTTCCCAGCTGATGCATTTTTGCTGACATGGCTTCTGTGCCACATCAGCAAATAAATGGAATCACCTGGAGAATCTCATCTAGGATATATAACAGTTTCCAATTCTCTGGTACATTCTAATTGTCAAAGATCTTTATCTCTGTAAAGCAGGCAAGCTAATTATCAATTATTATATGGGCAAATTTCTTAAAATATCCTWATGGTTTTAAGAAATTGACTATTTCTACCCTTACTATTTACATAGGCCACATTTGGCATTCCTTATTTTAAGGACTCATCTCGTTTTTTTCATAGGGCCATTTTAATTACGAGATAAATTCTTAAAATAAGGAATGTCAAATGAAGTGATATTGTCTTAAAGTATTCTAAAGTTTTCTGACAATTCATCATTGTTAAATGTTAAGCACTAAGAGAAAAAATGAAATGTCAAATTTTTCCTCCACTATTCCTCAAATTTTCAAAATAAAACCCAACTGATAAAAATTTTCAGGAAGATGAGGAAGTGAATTGCATCTCGTCAGCCAATACAAACCTTTTGATAAAAGAAAGGTTTCTCCACCATTATACAGAAGAAAATATACTGTACATGTTTAATGCGAAAATGAAGCATAAATAAATAAAAACACCTTTCCGTTCTATGTATTTTTTGTATAAAATTCCAGTACTGTATGTAATTTTTGAAATATCCCACATAATCTTGAATCATTTTTGCAAACCAACTCCATTATTTTTTCTTTTCTTTTTTTTTTTTTCTTTCTTTTTGAAAGCCCTCAAACCAACTCCATTAATTAATGTAGAAGGCAGTAAAGGAAATCATCAAACATAAAACTTTGAGACAAGAAAATAAAAGTACTAGCGGACAAAGTTAGGTAGGCGAGATATTCTGTCAATTTCCTTGATGATCAAGTCCTTTTCTTCTTCAAATTGCTCATCTTCAGTGCCTACAGTGGTGGAGCTAATATGTTACTAATGGTCTAGCAAGAAAACCCACCAATATAATTCATCCAATATTAGTGGCTTAGTGCTGTGAAGACACTTTAAGGGAGAAGTACCAAGGGCATAAAAGTAAATATGTGAGAGACGACCAACTCAGTAAGCATCATAATAATGATTTCCTAAACTAGAACTCAACAAAAAATGGATGATCGTAGCTATAGAATCCATCAACTCCTCCCACATTTTACGATATATCTTTTTCTCTTAGGGCCATGTCAAGGATATTAGATACCAAAAAAAATGAATGCAAGGGATGTAGGAACATGCTGGTTGCTGGACCTACAGACAAAGGGATCCTCCATTGATAAAATATTTCAGATGTATGCTGCAAGATGAATACCCATGGTATTTTTCTCTTATCATTCAAATAAATGCAATAATGATCAGGATCACCCTATCAGTATAGATACCTTTCCCAACAGAAAGATTGTGAAGTAGGTCAAGCAGTTTTTCATGGTTTTTCGCCAAAATAAGAATTATTTCCCATGGCTTGTTCGGATTAGCAACAAAGATCTACAGGGAAAACAAAATTAGATAAAACATTATTTAATAAAAACACAACCATGAATTGCATAACAGTTGTTTAAAATGCAGTCACCAGTTCCTAGTATGTGAGTGTGGCCCCCAAGCTTTCAAGTTAGAACTTTGCCACCCTGATTTATAAATTCCAATAAACATTTATGCATCTCATATAATTCTATGAAGGAAAATGTTATATCTACTGCCCAATAAATAACCATTTAAACATGCATACAATCCAAAAGTCCACTTTGTGGATGATATGAAATGCTAAAAAAGCAACTACCAGAAGGATCATAGCATTTGATCCTTAGTTTATTTTAACTACCTAGAACTAAGCATCTGATCAGCATGGGGTATCCCAAGCTACTTCTATATCAAACATTGTTTGAGTCCACTAAGTGCTTATAGTTAATGTAACAAAAAGGCATATAAAATTTCAATGGATCTTCATTGTTTTTCTGTTCCTTCTCTTTGAAACCGGAGTGTTTGGTTTTTCAGTTTTTTTTTTTTTTGATCAATAACTGATAAATTCATTAAAATTATAAGACAGATACCATAAAGTACATAGGGAGAGATAAACACTCCTAACTCTCCCCAATACAGAAATCAATCACAACAAAGCCCAAAATAGACTTTCCCTTCCCACCCCTTGTTTTGCAAGTGTATCCACAAAGGAATTTGAAGTCCTCTTTACCCCTAGTAGACTTATTTCCATGTCCCTGGTCATCTATCTGTGCATCCTTTCTTTCATTAGCAAATTTCCATATCTTATTCTCCTCTAGCAGCCAGCCTATAACTAGTGTAGAATCTCCCTCAGCAATCAGCTTTTGATATTCAACTCCTTTACTCTTTTAATCCCTTTCATTATCGCCAAAACCTCAGCTCTAAGTGAACCACCCACTCAAGTAGGGGTGTCAATGGACTGGATTTGGTCCAATCCGATCCAGTCTAATGTGAGTCCATTATAAATGGACCAGGTCCAATCCAATTCAATGAATGTTTTGGACCAATTTGGAGTGGTCCAATTCAATGTCTGGACCATCCAATCTGTTAAAATTCATTTTGATTTAGATTGGTTTCAACCCAAACCCAGTCCATTGACACATATTCTTATCTTATATCAATGGACCAGATATTGACTTAATCCAACCCAATCCAATAAAAATTTGTTATGGACGGACCAGGTCCAATCCAATCTAATAATATTTTGGACCGGATTGGTCCAATCCAATATATCTTGTTGGTCCATCCACTCCATCCAAATTGATTTTGGACTGGATGGGGTCCAATCCAAAACCGGTCCATTGACACCCTTACACTCAAGCCACAAACTTAAGGGAAGCTGAATCGGCTACTTCCTTCCAATTTTTGAACAGGTCATCTGAGGAAATACCTCCAAATAATTCCAAGGATTTCACCCAATGAACTACCCTAACAGTGATAGTTTCAATGATGGATGCTACACTTCTTTCCTTTCAGAGAAGATTCTTTGGTTCCTTTCTTCCCATGTTGTCCAACAAACAGCAGCCCTTGTACATCTCCACAGAACTCTACCTCTTTTATTTAACCCCTAACAGAAAGGGAGCTAAACAAACTTTGTACATTTGGTGGGGGAGTCCATCTGCAACAAAACAAAGAGAGAAACCAATCTCAAATCACATAAACAAATGGGCAGGAGATTAGTGACAGTAACTCTCACCATTAGCTTTACAAAAAAAGCACCAATGTGGAGATAAACACCAATTAGTTCTTTTCTTTTGGAGATGGTCACAAGTGTTATACCTTTCTAGTATAGCTTCCCAACAGAAAGCTCCTATCCTAGGAGGAATTGGTTTACCCCAAACTTCCTTTACTGGAAAAGGTTGCCCCAGGCCAATAGAAAACTGTGAAAGAGCTCTAAAGAAAGGCACAAGAGAAAGCACCAGAGGGAGACAAGGTCCAAATCCTTTTATCCCCCTTTTTAATGGATCTAACACCACCCCATTTAGGATTTTAACTAAAGTTGACACTGAGTGCAATTCAGAATCTATGAGACCCCTTCTAAAACCCAAGTTCCACTCAAATCCAAGAAAAGAATTGGAAGGAACTAGAAAAGAAGATATAGGCACATTTTTAAATCTTGAAAGGGAAAACAAAGGAAATTGTTCTTTCAAAGGTGAATTTCCCACCCAAACATGTTTCTAGAACTTCACTAGGTTACTAGAACACAACTGATACCTGATGAATGGCAAGAATGACGGAAGGATGGCATGAATTGACTTCCAAGGAGAGGCTCTTATGGCTCTAGCAATACTCCCAGCCATCAGTCGCTTGTCCATGTATGCATAAAACTACCTTAGCCCAAAGCTTATCCTTCTCCCTTGCTTATCTCCATAACCTTTTTCCAAATAGTGCCTTTTTCTTTTTTTGAATATTGCCCAAACCTAGTCCCCCTGCACTCTTGCTCCTATTGACCACTTCCCATCTAACTCTGGTCTTTTCTCTCCTCCCCTGGCTCCACAAAGAGTCCCTCATCATTTTCTCCAAACATCTACTCACCCCCCCTAGTATCTTAGAAAATAGACTGGAAAACTAGCCAAGTAGATTTAATCAAAGTAATCCTACCCCCCAAAGAGAAAGAGAGAGAGAGAGAGAGAGATTTCTTCCATGTGGCTAATCTCTTTGTAAATTTGTCAACCACCAGGCTCCAAAAACTGCTCTTACAAGGATTATCCCCTAACAGAGGCCCCAAGTAATTCAATGGCCACTAAGAGACCATACACCCAAAAATGTTTGCCCTTTCAATTACCTCATTCTCAGCCATATTAATACCAACTACACAACTTTTATCAAAATTGATCCAGCTCCCCTACAGGAATTAATTTTACTCGTTAGAACTTTTCATAGCTTTCCACTCATCATTTTGGCCTATGCATCCACATGCAGTGAAGCAACACCCCTCCCCCAAATGAAGTATCTCAACATTCAGGGCTTTCTACTTGCCAAACTGGTCCATAACTAAATATTCCACTAAATGAACTTGTAGAAACTGAAGTCATTAGTTAAAAATCATTTGAAATACAGAAGCAGTGGCCTGGGACCAGAGTTACCTTGGAATGTGGCATGGGTGCCAAGTTTTTGAGTGTCTATGGGTGCCTGACATGTCAGCCTCCAAAAATCATGGCAAGGGGATACAAAATTAAATAGTATGTGATTATGTAAACAATTTAAAAATAGGAAAAATGGTTTAGACTCCTAAAATTTGGTTGATAAGTTTGAACTCCTTATCACATGTTTTTTCTCGTGATACCTTGTTTATGACTGCTAAGTACCAAGGATTCATGCTGACTTAAGTTAGGGCATGTCAAGATGCTATGAGAAATGTTGTGTCAAGTGTTGTCACAGTGTCCAAGTGTCCAAGTGTGTGTCCAGAACAGCTGGACTTTTTAGTGCCTGGGATTTTCTTGTTAACTGGTATTACCTAAAAGACCTCCAAAGGATGAATCCACCAGGTCATAATATCATATGATCCTAAGCATCCTATGTTTCTACTTGTTTCTTTAAAGATGCACTTTTTTATTCTTAGCCTTCAAAGTAATGCAACTGCTCTATGATTAGGATAACCAAATCAGATCAAATTATCAAGCAGAGGATTCCGCCATCAAGGTGCACAGTGTATCACTATCCAAGTTGTCCATCCAGACTCTGTTGTTCAGTACTTATGCATCCTTTTGTGATGATCAAGCATTTGGAACAGTGGAGTAGATTCTTATGATTGATGCATTACAGTAGCGGAAAGAAATGGCTGTATTCTTAAGATAGATGCATTTGAAAAGCAGAAAGAAGATACTTTTGACTCTACTTTTTTGAGGGTGACCTTTTTTTGAAGTTCCTCTGGTTGGTTCTTGTACAGTTTCTCATTGTACAAAGGACCTTTTATTTAATACAAATACACTTTACCTTCTCTCAAAAAAAAAAGTGTAGTGCTGCTTGTAATACTGGATAGTAGAAGCCCAAAATCTGAATAGTTCTGTACAATTGGCACGTATGTAGAGAGTCTCATTGTTCCCATATAAAGGACACCCCAGACCAAATTTACCTCAATAGATGTCCTCAAATTTCTAATTTCCTGATCTGTGGAAATTTTATTCAAAGCATGGAAAATAAATAGATAACAGTTCAAGAAATGTTCATCATATTGTGATAAGATTTGAGGTTTTGCATGTTCCAACCAAGGAGAACTCCTGGGTGGGATCTCCTTGCATGTGCAAGTGACAGACTACTACCACGTTTCATGATCTCTGAGCATTTCTTGGAAGTAAATTCAGGTTGATTAAACTGGAAAATAACAATTAACATAGTACCAGAAGAAAGATGAGAAACTACAACACCTTGAAAATGTGGAAAGCCGATATCTGGATATTTTTACTCGAGTCCTACATGGATTATAGATTGTTAGAATACCAAAATGAAAGGCAGAAGTTGCCATTTTCCATACATCAAATAATATCAAACAAGAAAGGACAATTATCAAAAGGAGCATTTCAATGGATGTAGCAAATCAAGAGGGTTTCAGATGGCAAACATGTGCATTCTTTATAAGAGAGAATAAGAGCATGTGAAATATCTATTCATCCATTGCAGATTTTTAGAGTTCTTTGCTACTTTTCTTTTATCAGTAACACCAAGATTTTATTAATTGTATGAACAAATGTACAAGTTGTATTTTACAAAGCCAAGCATATAAGTTTGTCATCCAAAACTGGAAAGTTTAATCCATCTGAATCCAAGGAAATTCTCTTCTTGTCCAAGACTGGAAAGGAGAAAAATGCCAATATAGTATGGAGTATCATCTCATTTGCAGTCTGTTGGGGCATTCTGGGCAAAAGGAACAGTCAGGCTTGTGAAGATAAATACAAAGACAAACTGGTGGCAGAAATTTGTGCATTAGTTGCAGATTGGACTTTGCCTCTCTCAGATTTCAAGGAAATGAATAGGGAAGATCTAGGCCATAACATGTGGTCACCATTGGAAGCTTTGGATGGGAATTCAGATCCACGAGTCAAGAGGTATATTTCTTTATTTTTGTTACTTTCTGATCTGAATGTAATGCTTTGGGAGGAACCTCTTCACCAAAACCTGTAATACATTTTCTATTTTAAAAATGCATATAGCAAGCATGAACTTGTTAGTTGTAAAAAAACAACACAGAAAAACAAAATAAATTCTTAGATGAAAGATAAATATATTCTGTTCTCATTACCTCTCCATGACAACCAAAACAATATGTTAAAAGAATGGTTTATAAACTTAGTAGTCCCTCCATTCCTTTTTTTTTTCTTTTTGAGAAACAAGTAACAATATATTAATAAGGAGGAGTTGTACATGAGAGGATGTACAAAATTAGCAAATAAAATTATGAGCCCTGGCCTTCAACAAGAAAACATAACAAGGCAAAGAGCTGTTGCTCTATTAAAAAAAAACCCTTCCAACCCCAACTCTAGCAAGGCCATCAGTAATGGGATTAAGATTCCTTGGAATCCACCTTTTGTACAGTAAAGGGTGCAAGAATATCTCTAATTTCAATTCAGGTAATGGGTTAGATCCCAAAGCTACTGGCTGGAACTGCTACTCCATCTAATGTGTTGATTCTCTCTCAATAGCTGAAGACAAAGATCTGAACCTCAGCCAAGCTCCAATAAAAAGGGCAAAGGCTCCATCCTTATTAGTTGGGCTGTAAATGAGTCAGGTGGACCTCACAAAACTAAACCAAACTGATCCTATTAGATTGGGTCTGGTTCTGCATTATGTGTCATGATCTAATTGGGTGGGTTCTGGGTCAGGATCGGTTTTGCTTGTTCAGAACCAATTAAGACCCGAACAGACTATATATTACAATGATATCCCTAGTCTAATGCCCATCCTTCACATGGTATACTTGTAATATTATCAGTTTAGCATGTCTAAACATGCCAGCTTAACAAATAGTCTAATGCCCATCCTTCCTATGGGTTTGTTATTACAGACCCTATGGGGTTTGGCTTGGGATTGTTGACTGGTTTGGGACCAGACCTACCCTGACCTGAATCCAACCTGACCCATTGACAATGTTGCTTGTTAGGAGTTGCATCTAATAGGGTCACTATAAACCCATAAGAGGCTTCCATTAGATTTGGTTAGAATGCTGCCAATTCCTGTCAAACTCAGGTTGCCAAAGATGCACCATCAAATTGGAGTAATCTCACCTTCAACTTAGGGAAGTGAGGTTCTTCTAGGTGGCTGGATCCCTTGGGAGGATCTGAGAATATCCACAGGGTTTCATCATGGAAAACTCCTTTTGATTTCCATGGTTGCAAAAGGCCAAGAATTTAAAAGGGATAAAACCCTCCTATGAAGAATTTCAAAAGAGGCTTTTTTGTCTTCAAAATTTCTTTCATCTCTCTCTCTCTCTCTCTCTCTTTTATCAATAACAGAAACTTTATTAATGATGTGAAGATTTGTGAAACTTTAGATACAAAAGGGGGAGATAAAATGTCTTAGCTCCCCTTCATCAAAATACAATGAAAGAAAGTTAAAAATTAGCCCAAAAGATAGACTCCCTATTCGCCCCTTGCTTGGCCAGCCCATCTGCAAATGAGTTGGCAGTCCTCTTCACCCAGCTGTATAGTATCTCAATGTCCCTACACAGCCAGAAGAATTTTTTCTTTTCATTGTTATAGCTCCACAAACCACTGTCCTCTTCCTTCAACCAACTAATCACCACTGTCCTCTTTCTTTCATATCTCTCTTTCTACATGATTCTGTGATTGATAGCCATGTTGTACATCCACCCTTCCCACCAAGTCTCCATCCCTTCTCATCACTAGAGAATCTCAATAAAGAGACAGGAGAAACCCACTCGATCCCCGCAAGACTAAAAAAGTGCTAATTCTGGTAGTCAAACAGTGAACAAGGAGATGATTTGCTAATTCTGCATCCTTTAGGCACATGTTGCGTACCATGAGCATACTTGTAATTTTGTTTATCTTTAAGGATGTCATATGCATTACTCTTAATAAAAAAGTTCTAACCTTTTCACATACAGCTTCCCACACAACAATATACCCTCTCCATAAGACAGCCATAATCTTTCCCCCAGGAAGGTCTGGTTAGACGAGGAGAAAACAACAGCACCAAAGAAGGAATCAACTAAGTTCTTCAAACTCTTCCTGCGGTAAGCTTAGTCCACTGCTCCAAGATGATTTCTTGCCCAAGTATTCTTCCTTCCCACGAGTATAGCAAGGAAAACCACATAAGCGTCATTCATACAAGTCAAAAGCAGGTCCATCTTGAGAGTCAAAACCCCATAAATATTGGTTTTTTTTGGCTCTATAAAGAGTTCAAGGGTTTCAGTTTCAATCATTTTGAAGAAGAGGGCTTATCATTTTTTTGTCCCTTATTAATATATAATTTGTGAAGCATGTGCGTGTATTATCATCATCATCATCATCGAAGCCTTGTCCCAACTATATGAGGTTGGCTACATGAATCCTGTTTCACCATTCTGTTTTGTTCAGTGCCATAACTATCATTAAACTATGGACGCTTAAATAATTTCTAATTACTTTCGCCCAAGGCCTTTTCAGTCTGCCCCTAGCTTTTCTAGCCCCTTCAACTTGTGACCATGGTTTTGAGAACCAGACCAGAAACGAAACTTGCTTTGACCACCAATTCCCAGATCAGATGGTCCGACCATCTGGTCCGAAGCCTGGTCAGACGATTTTTGGGTCCAAAACCAGACCCAGAGCCATGAGCAGTTCCTGTGTCAATCATTCCGGTCCGGTTTTTAAAACCATGCTTGTGACAGATCACTTTTTCTAATAGGTGTTGTAAATGGTCCTCTATGCACATGACCAAACCATCCCAATCTACTTTCTATCATTTTATCACATATTGGAGCTACTCCTAGGCTCCTTCATATGACTTCATCACTAACCATGTCCTTTTCTACTTTTACCAATCACCTATTTAAGCATTCACATTTCTGCCACTCATTTTTTGGGCATGTTTCTTAACTGCTCAACACTTCGTTCCATGCAACATAGTTGGCCTTACAACTACTTTATACAATTTTCCTTTTAGCCAAAAGTGGTATTCACCTATTACATAAGAATCTGGATGCACCCCTCCATTTTGCCTATCCTGCTCTAATTCTATGAGCAACACCCTCCTCAATCTCGCCTTTGTTATGAATTTTTTAACCAAAGTAATGAAAGAGGTTGCATTGAGTTATCTCTTGGTCCCCAATCCTAAGTCTACCTTCGTTTTCACTCCTAATATTATTAAATTTTCACTGCATATATTCTATTTTAGTCCTACTTATTTTAAAACATCTTGTTTCTAATGCAGTTGTTGATAAACCAAAATTTCATTTAGTTGTTCACTAGTTTCATCAATTAATACTATGTCATCAGCAACATCAAGCATCATGGGACCTCCTCTTGATGGATGAGTTGTACAAGCAAGTGCTTTCTGGTTGATTTCTCATTTGCAATTATTAATTCCCTGACAGCCTAAAACCAAAACATGCATGCATGCATGCTGTTAATTGCTTTGATTGATTTGATGCTTTATTTAAAAAAAAAATTAGTTGAACACTTTCAATGGACCTATATGTCAATGTATGTGAAGTTGTTAATGCATGTTGTTAATTGCTTTGATTGATTTGATGCTTTATTAAAAAAAAAATTAGTTGAACACTTTCAATGGACCTATATGTCAATGTATGTGAAGTTGTTAATGCATGTTGTTAATTGCTTTGATTGATTTGATGCTTTATTAAAAAAAAAAATTAGTTGAACACTTTCAATGGACCTATATGTCAATGTATGTGAAGTTGTTAATTACTAAGTTTGATACTTTGATTATAAATTTTGTATTCATATGTGATGCTTTTGTTATCAAAATTATCTATCAAAAAAAAATGTTATCAAAGTTTGCAAATATTCGCTTATGCAAAATGCCCTAACTTTTATATTATTTTAGATTTATATATTTTAATTATTTATTAATAAAAAATTCAATGCTTCTTGGGATGCTTATACCTCATGTGTTATGGTTTATGCCTCATGCTTTAGGATACTGGAATACCTCACATCACACCTTTGCATTTGAAAAAATTGGTTTGCACTATATATGCATCTGTTTATTATATTTGGCATACTAAGAATTCTTAAACCTTTATGAGGTTTTTCTTAAACAGTAATTTCTTTTTTTTTCATTCTTCTCTAACTTCTTTGTGAGCATTTGCTCAAAGCCATATACATCTGTCATTGATTAGAGAAGCTTATGACTTTTATGATCTCTCAGTTTAAATTGATGGCTGAACAACATTGTCCTTTGGTATGCACATAAACAAAAAAGCAACATATTAATCAAGGCACCTTTTGGCTGAAAAATAATACCAATACCCCATCAGACATTGAATCAAATTCCAAATATCTCGGATTCTTATCGAATCAGATTGCAGCCTTATTCAAGGCCATTTCCAAGGAAAGTAGTAATTGCTTGTAGGAAGATTTCACTGAAAAATTGCCACTGCAATCAGCTCTCCAGAACTGAGAGTCCTTATCACCTGGTCTTCTGTTGGAATGACTCAAGCAGGACAAAAGAGAGATCAGTATGCAATCAGACATTCAAATGTCGTGCAGGAGCTGGGGAGTCCAGGCTACATGACCGTTCTCACCTCATAAGAGTCCTTGATGGTGGCATCTTGGGCAAAGGCTGGAGTAAAGATGCTAGGGAAATGAGGAAATCTTCATATTGTGTCCTATAAGGGTGATCATGAGCCTGGCGGCATAGGTCATAAAACAAAATATGTATAAAATATATGATATAATTTTTTGATAAATWAATTGTTTTATTAGATCAAGGAAAAATACAGATACGAGCAACCCATGGAGAGGTGCAAGCTGCATCCTCTCCCAACAGAACATTAGACTAAATCAAACTACAAATGTGCCCAAAACAGTTCCCTATTTGCCCCTTGCTTGGCTAGACAATCAACCAAAGCATTTACTGATCTCCCCACCCACCCATTGTATTATTTTTTTATCAATAATAACATTTAATTACTTAATTACAAAAGAATTACAAAGAGGAAGATAAACTTTCTTATCTTCCAAAGGGAGCAAACACTCCCAAGAACAAAAAGGAAAAATTACACTTGTGCCCAAAACATTGATTCCCTCACGACTCCTTGCTTAGCTAATCCATCCGCAAAGGAGTTAGTTGACCTATTCACCCAGCTGACCTTAACTTCCATCTCCTGAACCAGCCACCTAAACTCTCTCCTCTCATTACTGTACATCCATAAACTGCTATTTTCTTTATTCAGCCACCCTACCACCACCTCTGAATCCCCTTCAATGAAGAGTTTTCTTATATTCATTTCCTTGGCTCTTTGAACTCCTTCCAAAACTGCAAGTATTTCAGCCCTGAGAGAGTCACCCACTCCAATTGGGCCGGAGAACATGACAGAGACAAGCACATTCTCATCCCTAAACACACCTCCAATCCCCGATTGTCCAGGATTCCCCCGACTGCTTCCATCGAAGTTCAGTTTTAAGAAGCCAGCCGGTGGGGGAGTCCAGGACACACACAAGATTGCTTTGGACTGGGTGCAGTTAGCAATCTCACCGCACTTCCTCAACAAATCAACCACTGTGAAATCTGTAAACAGCTCAGACGATTTCAGCCACTGAGCAACCCTTATGTGAATCAAATCTCTCAGTTCTTCATTACTTTTTTCTACCTCAAAAAAGATTCTGGCCCACCCATTGTATTATTACAAACAAACTCCATGAAGAGCAGCAAGTAATTCTGCCCTAGTAGAGTCCCGAACTCCTAGCAGACCCAAGTAGAAGAAACCACATTTCCGGTCTCATTCCTCAGAACCCCTCCCATCTCAGAGAGGCCTAGATTACCTTGATTGCTGCCATCAAAGTTCAGCTTCAAAAAACCTTCAAGAGGGGGTGCCCAGCTTTTATACTAACCCTAACCTTTATAGAGGAGCAGCTTGCCTCTGCTGACCAATTCCTCCAAATATCCTAAAAAGAAAATTGGTGGAATAAGTCCAAGGATTTCAACCATAGAATAACCCTATTCAGAAGAATACATTCATTTAGCGCTTGATGGTTTCTCTCCTTCTCTTGGAATATTCTGGCACTCCTTTCTTCTCACACTGATGAACTACGATATAATTTATATAATATAGAATATTATATAATAGTGTAATACATACATACATATTGCAGGCTGGGCTGGAAATGATCACCCCTTGTGTCCTGTCTCCACTCCAACAGTCCTCCCAGAAATAAATATGTGCACCATTGCTGGTGTAAAGTATATAAATCTGATGAAATCTTCTCTTTTGTCTTCATAATACATTTCCGTATGCCGGATGTATAAGAACAGTGTGCAGGATGGGATTCACAATGCAGATCTGTTTCGGCAATAATAGTTCTGAATAATTTGGCACAATAATTATCCCATAGGACGACATCCACTTAAGAAGTAAGGCTTTGTTCATGCCCACTCTTCTGACTTTGGCTGTAAAATTTTGAACCAAGCAACCAAGTGAAACTTATTACTGTCAGAACTGTCCAAAGAAAACCTATGACTCTCTCCAATTAGCCAGAACCACCACTTTCAGGAAATGACATTGGCATACTCAAAACTATTCCATCTAATGCAATCCCAGATATGGAAATTTCCAATTTATTAGGCCTATGACCAACTTGGGTGTTGACACTAAGAAACAATGATGTCACACAGGTCAGTTTACTGGTAAGTAGAAGTTAAAAACAATTAACACTGGGAGTGAGGAAAAAGAATCTGGAATGGAAAGTATGGTGGTAGCAGTGATCAAGAGTGGCGACAGTGGCCGATGAAACCAATCAGAGTACCGATATGTTATTTTATTCAAGGAAGATATGTTTTTCTCAGTATAATGGACTAAATGATGGAATAAAGGCTCTTATGTGGTAGTTTCAATAAATGACAAAAGCATAATAACTAGCTGCAAAGAGTGCTGTAGCACCTTTTTATCCAGTAGAAAGGATCTGACTTCTTGAACTCTCTCTTTTCCGGATTGTCTTCACTATGTAATTTAACTGATGCTATGTCAGATGACAAGATCTAGAAAATTTTGTTATGGCTATGTTTCTAAACTTAGAGAAATCTACGAGTTCATTACTTTTTGTATAATGGTACAATCACATTAATATACAGATGCAAAGCAACTAATCAAGGCAGGAGCCAATCCCAAGCACAAAAAAGAAAAAAAAAAAAGCAGAGATGATGGTTTCATATGAATGGTCCATAGCTCCAATTTTGTCCAAGAATATCATTGTAGAGAACAGACTTCTGCATCTGGGTGTTCTGTTCTGTCCCTTCCTGTTTGTTTCCTTTCTTTTGAGGATTCTTTTTTTTTTTCATTTTCTGTTTTTTTCCTGAGTAAACTATTTTTGAGAAAGGTAAAAGTTTTTCAATTCATATTGGACATTTGGACAAAATAGCTCCGAAACTATATATTCAAGGCACTATGTAAGCATATACATACTCTTTGGCTGAACAAACCAAAGGCAGAATGGCATTCTTAACTCACTATAAACAAGTTGTCAGACAGAGAAGAGGACACAAGAGCATACATAGAACATTTTGCTAGATGCATGTAAACAGAATAACAAATTGGAATATTTTAATGATGTACTTCTTTAAAAATATTTGGTTGCATAAACAGAACAACACCAGAAAGAACCAAAGATCAATTAGAAGGAACCATGTCAATACCTTCAGCAATGTCATCATGACTTTCAGATACCGAACTTCTACAATGTAACGCTTCATTATATGGGAATTTGGAGACTCCAAAAGAAATTCCGAAATTAGCTAAGATATGCCATCATTACACTAATGTCAAGCCTTATTATCCAAATAATGATAAGAAAATCCAGAAAATTATAGCCACAACTTACCTTCAATGATTGCCTTCGAGTTACATAATTTGTGGATGTTAGAAGCTTCTCATATAGCTCAAAGAACTACAACAGCATCCTCTAGTTAGATTATACAAGAGAATCAAGGAAAGAATGAGAAAAAGAAAGTCTTTCTCCATTCCTGACCCACAAACACATAGTAGCAGGTGGAAGAAAGTCATCTTCTACCATGCAATGTAACCAAAAGAAGAAATCAGCTCAACGGGACCAATTAGAGTAGCACAGGCTTATATGGTTTGGGTCATTTATTGTCCTATTTTGGTCTAGGAGGTCTCCTAGATGGAAGCATATTAAATGAAAAATCCTGGTAGCCACACGATGCATGTGATAAGTATGGCACATGCATTAGCCTGTGTTGGAAAACATGGGGTTACTGGTTCAAATCTGAAAATAGAATTGTATATATTCCTAGGATTGTGGAAGGATTGATTTAGAAAGTTTTTTCTTTCTTTCTATTTTTGTACTTTCTATTTTCTCTTCTTTCTATTTTTTCTTCTTTCTATTTTCTCTTCTTTCTATTTTCTTTTCTTTCTATTTTTCTTTCTTTCTATTTATTGCAACAGCTTACTGTATA